AGAGAGCTCCCCTGCCAGACCTGTGTTTCTGCAACTAGGGCGGGGTGGATGCAGCCCCCCGAATTAGTCAAGGACTTCACCACCTATCTGTGTTTAGCTGTGGAAGTCTGATACTGACAGTCAATTGCAGGGTATAGCTTTAACTACACAAAAAAACCCAAAAGCCAAAAGATGCAGGGGAAAAAAACAACAGAAAACCTGTGGTTTGTCTCCATTTTTAAGATGTTAACCCTCAGAGGGTGCTTCACTGACCTTTGCTGAAAATAAAGACCTTTTGATTCAACAAAGCCTAAACATAAGGGTTAGCTGGATACTTGCTAGACTGGTGGTGTTGCCACCAAGAGACTTCTAGAACTAGACCCAGAAGATGCTGCTACATCTTTCAGAGCATGTCAAAGATGTGGACTCAACCTACTTTTATTAAACCCTTATTTACATAACTACACCCACAAACATCTGTCTACAAGATGACAAAATATGGACTAGGAGAACATTTAAGTAGCTGATCACAGGAAGTATAGTACCAGTGTAGTATATTAGGTTTTATATATGCTCATATATACTATACACATACAGTACTGGATGTACTACATACTATGTACACAGTAGTACAGTACTACACATAATAGTGTATGTGTATAGTATATATGTATACATGTGCCTATATGTACTATATTTGAGAGGCATATGTAGTGTGTGTATATATATATATAATAAACATGCACAGTGTAGCCTAAGGTACATAAATAGTAAACTGCAATACCTTCACCTGTGTTTAACTGTCACAGAACAGGCGACCTATCTAATGAGAGAAGGGACCACCACAGCATAGGTTCAGTAACTACTGTGCAGAAGTTGTACATGGAAGAAGAGACAGAGCAGGGTGCTCAGACACAGATGTCAGGAATGGGCACATAAGGGTAAAGGAAGCTTCTGAAAGTGGCACAAAAACTCCCATCCCCATTCAAAGCATGGTTAGCAGCTTACAACGCTAACTCACTCACTGCAGTGGTGTGCGGTAAACACAACAGACTACACAGAGCCAGAAAGCTGCTTACTCACAAATGGCTGAAATAACTTGTCCCAGCAGAGAGTAGGTGAGAGTGTCAGCAGCTGGTTTGCAACACCCAGGAGAACAAACTGACAAAACAAGCAGGCAACAGCAGCCAGTGCTCTGAGCCAGAGGTGGCACGTGGACGTGCTTTGGTTGCCTTGCCAGACAAGATGCCTGCGTGTGACAAGCAGAAGGCCAGCAGCGTGTCTCCCTGTGGTGGCTGTGGAAGCAGCCGCCTCAGTTTTTATCCCAGTCCTTGGACAGCCTTAAATGTCCATTTGTCTTCCCAGACCGTGCATTCATAATTAATACTATACACCTCTTATAACCTCATAAGCCTTGCTGGAGTCCTAACCACAATCCTTGTGAGAAAAACACTTAAAAAAAATCTCCTTACCCGGAGAGACCATCACAGAAATCGGCCTTAATCGGCAGCCAGGGTGTGATACTGTCACTGTACAGGGGTGGGGGACCTGCCCTTTCCTCCTTAATTTTCTAGCTCTGCAAAATGGTTGTTAGCAAGCAGCAACTTTTCAGAGCTGTATCTGCCCCAGAGATCCAAGGAGGCAGAGAACTGAGTTTTTAACAAGCAAGTGTCCTTGCTGCTGCTTACTTGACTTTCTCAGAACAATGTACAGCCCAGTGCTATTTATGTCCTCTTATTTCTCAGTCTCAGTGTCTTCAGGGGATAGGGGAGGAAGGGACAGACAAATCAAGTACTTTTGCCAGGAGCATATGAAATAAAGCAACTGCCGAGTTGATTAAAATCAATTTTTGCAGGATATTGGTTTCTTGAAGTGGAGGGGACCAACAGTTAACGTTACAGAGCTCAGTAGCATATCACTGCCAGCCAGCTTATAAAACAGCTCCTGGCTGATTCCAGCTTAGCAAGGAGGAACAACACAAAAATAGCCATCCTGGACTAGACCACAGATCCACTCAACTGAGCATCCCACCTCTGACAATGGCCAACAGGTAAGCGGCCTGATGGTGACAGTTTGCTGTTCCTGTTCCACATAAAGTGAGTGCTCAGTAGCTATGTAGTATATTTTTCCTATGGAAGAAAAGGCCATCCATGATAACCATAAAATTTCTCCCAACTGCCTTCTGATCTTGAGTCACAAAGTTGTACATGGCAAAAATTCACAAATCCCAAAGTTTAATTATACACTGGATAAAAACAAATAAACTCATCTGTATGTTGTTGTTGACTCTACTACAAATTTAGTAACTCATACAGAAGCCAATCCATATTTTTTACCAACTTTGTTGTCATTTTTGTATCTTTTTATTTCTACTCCTGCAAAAAAAGAGACCAAAGCCACATCAAACCAATGTATCTCTAAGAATTTTCTAGCATAGCAAAAGCAGCTGAACTTACTGACAAAAACCTAAGAACAACAAGAAGCCTTCGGGCAGAGTAAGTACACAAGCTGAAGAGACATGGATAGATGGACCAGAGGACTGTGCAGGCATCACAGCAAAGCATATAAACCACTGAAAGAAAAGAAAGAGATATTCTATGGATATCCATACCTTGCAACTTAAGTCGTCTTCTTAATCTATGATGCACCTATTTTGAAGGAAAGGGAGGAAACAAAAAAACCACCAGTACATGCGGCAACAAGAACAGTGACTTCCACTAAAGGCTTATTTATAGTATCAGCTTTACAAACCAAGAAGTCTTTCTATGGCACACCCTGCAAGAATGCTATGCTTCCAATTATCTTATTAAACCTTAAATTGGAAAAAAAAAAAAAAAAAAAAAGGTAATTGCTTAGGTTAAAACTAAATGCTAGAAATGTAGAAAAAATGCCAAATTATTGGTTTGCATGAGAATTTACAGAAATTGGCACATCAGAACTCCAGCCAGTGTCACACTGGATCGGATCACAGTAAGCCCCCAGAAGATCAATAGAAAAACAGGTTTTAAAAAGGAATAGGGAAGGGGGAGGAGAGAAAAAGGGAATTCAAAATATTCTCTAATATTTTAACAGAACATGCTTACATGGACCGGTACCTGATCAATAGTTTAAACAAGACCTAGAAAAGGCCTTCAGGCAAACAGAGAGACTCTGTTCTTCCCTGAATGCAGCATTTAAATAATTATCTGTAATTCTCTACCCACAGTTCTGTGACTTCTCATCCTGCATGATTTTCCCTGAAAAAAGTGCTCACTGTTTATATTATTGAGAGTGGGCACTAGCTTACAAAGTGTAATGCTTTATTTAAAAGCCTCTAGCACCCTTTGTCACATCTGGCTGGGGACTGCTGTCCAAAGATAACTTTGGGCAGTAGGCCATTTTTTAAGGCCTCCCTGTAAGTTGAAACATCAGATATCAAGACAGTAACATATAGGCATAAAAGTTTATCTTTTATACCAATCCAGAGCCATCACCAGAAATTGCAACAACTTAGAAAAAAACAGCTTACTGCTTGTAGGCACTGCTTTAAACTGGTGCTGGCTCACAACTGAGATCATTATAAAATGGCTATAAGTACAGTAATTCGTAAGTAGGAGTCCCAAACTATTCCAAACTGGAGTAGCATGTGCTACTTTTTGATGCTTCTAGGGGTGGCCTACAAGCAGCAATTAAGCAGTAGAGTAACCTGCATTTGTAGAAGACTTGCAGAGACAGACAAGCTGTTGGTTCACTCCATTAGCCATTGCTCCCCGTCCAGAGCAGAACAAGCTACTTATTTTTCAGCAGAAGATGCAGGTACAGTCTGGCTGCAAACCAGACGAAGCACTCTGATCCTGAACTACTGCTTCATTCTTACATATTATTGGTGCAGGTACTGCACCTGTCAGAAAATTGCCTCTAGAGACAGACTGAATCAATGTTTTCTGTATTTCAATGCAACATCAAACAAACAAAGCCCTTAATTCATTCTGGTACCTTCATTTAATGGGAGGTTCCCAGCAATTCCACAAAGCACTGAGCAGATCAATGTGATCAGAACAGCAAAATGATTCATGCTGTAGCAGAGGCCATTGGATATCCATTGCCACTGTCAAGTCATGGACAAGTCACAGGTACAAGGCATGTTTAAAGGAAACCAAGCAATATTTAAGAGTTGATTTTGTAAGATAAATTCATGGGGCAAATACAAGTATCCACAATAAAAGAAGCAAATGATAGAGGTAGGGCCAGATCCACTACTGTACTGTATTAGATACAATTTTGAATTACAAGATTCAATATCTACACTGCAGCAAGCTTATCAAAATTACTTATAATCACTCAACTACCTTTTTTGTTAATGTTCTGGATAGTTCTACCTGAGCAGGATAAGAAACGATTAAATACCATTGTTTGGTACCTCACGTGTTGCATCAGCACGCTAACAGCCGGTAAAGTGATTCAGTGTGACATACGGTCCAAGTACTTTTTAACCAATACGGACCTGTATTGTGTTCGCTGCTGGCCAATCGTTAAAGACAGAACCCCTATTTTTCCCTCTGGATTTTTTTGTTTCTCTTTTTCCCGATAGCTGAAACAAAACTATCCCTTCCCTCGTTTTTCTCACCCGCACGTTGTGACACCGCGCAGGGCGCGACGGGCTGGAAGGGGCCGCAGCCCCGCCCCGCCCCAAGCGGACACAAGGTGCGTGCCGAAGGAGACCCCGGCTCTTAAATCACGGTTTAACGCCCCCGGGGCAGGCTCTGCCCTCACGCCGGCCGGGAGCCGCACGAACAGAGACGGTGCCTTTGTGGGTTTCTGCCACCTCCCGTGTCAGCCCCGCGGGCAACCGACACCGGGAGCCGCGTCCCCGCTGCCATCGAGGCGCCCCCCGCGGGCCTCGGCCCGCCTGGCCCGGCCGCAGGCTACGGCGAGGGGAAGCGGCAGC